CAAGCTCTGGCCCGGAAGAACAGTACCAAAACGGAAGTAAGAAATTGCAGTATCTATGATAGATATACGCTGCCCTGAGGATCCGCAGCGTATATTTCTCATAGAAACTGCAATTTCTTACTTCTGTTTTTGTACTGCTTCTTCCGGGCCAGACCTTCTTTGAAGTAATCTATTCGAACGGAAACTAAAAACAAGTGCGTTTCAAAACACATCTTCTGTATTGAAGAAAATGACATAGGGCAGGAACATACGAAGAAGTAAAATATAAGGCGGGGGTACGCTTGACTGTGGCTAGCTTCGCGATGCTGCGCCGTTCCGTCCGACAAGCCATGCATGGGGTTCACACCTACCTTGGCATGCGGCGCTGCCTTGCCTTCGGCACGCCCTTTCGCCACTCATCGGCATTCAAAGAGACATGATCGAAAGTCTCAACAGCATTCGGTTTCGACACATGAGCTGGGGGGCTCCGCCCCGCCCTTGTTTTAGTACGGGGTCTCGGAATTGTGGTTACATTATGCCCATTTAGGAAAAATCTTGATTTAGAGGTCAAAATAGATTACTTTTACGTCATCTGCACCCTCCAAAACCTATGAAATGTTGTAAACCTCTGCAGGAGAAGAAAAGTCATTTAGAAGTTTGCCTTTTGTGCCGTTGTTTAAGTATTTTTTAGTTGCAATGACCGAGCGCATTTTGATAGCTGGATTTTAGTGGTTAGCAACCCAAGAATACACCCAACGACCCTGCAAAACCCAACCGAATCAATGAGCCGTTCAGGAGTAGTAGCGCGGACACAGTAGCACGCAGACCGGAAAAATTTTTTAACCCCCACCTGAGTAGCGGGCTTCGCTATCGTTCAGTAAAAACCCCAAAATTAATTCACAACCCCACCCAAGTCCAATGGCGATACCCGGTTGCTAGCGGCCTCTCCCCTCTCCACTCTACCAAAAATGTCCTGTCAACGCCTTTAATTTATTACCAGTTTTCACTGTAGCTTAATTCACAGCGTTTACTGTGATTTGCTCACGCGATTCACTGTGATTGTTCACGGTGTTCACTGGATCTGGTTCCAGTAAACACTGTGATTTGGACGCCGCTGGCACCGAAGTGCTGCAAAGCAGGCTCCAATTCACGGCGTTTACTGTGGCCAGATCACAGTGAACACTGTAACCGAGATCACAGTGAACGCCGTGAACTAGTTCACAGCAAAACCGTGAATTGCATAACAGCAAACATTGGTAAAAAATTAACGGCGTCGACAGGAATTTTTTGGGAGTGTCCCCGCATCACCCGAAGTTTTTCCGGCTCCCCTCAGTGGGCCCGGGGCTTTACCCATACCAAAAAAAAACATAGGTGATTTTCTCGGTGCGGCTCACTTGTCCGACCTCCCACTTGCCCGACCCTATTAAAAATAATCCCGTGGCAATATTTATATTGCTGGCCACTCGCTAGAAATTTTCCCCTGCTGTCGAAGACAGTTGTCCGACCTACTGAGTTGTCCGACCTCTGCTTAGTCATCCCTCGGGGAGGGAGGGAGGAGGACGGCCCCGATGGGTTGCCTACCTCCAAGGCGGCCCTGCGGGTCCAGGGCGGGGGGCTTGGGAATAAGTGGGCTATGTCGCACCCAGCACAGTGGTAGGGTGCCTCCAGGGTGCCTCCAGGGCGCCTCCAGGGCGCCTCCAGGGGCTTCCAGGGCGCCCCAGGGCGCCTCCAGGGCGCCTCCAGGGCCCCTCCAGGGCGCCCCCAGGGCGCCTCCAGGGCGCCTCCAGGCGCCTCCAGGGCGCCTCCGGGGCGCCTCCAGGGCGCCTCCAGGGCTCCTCCAGGCAGCCGGTAGAGGGTCCCCGGGACCCGGGGCAGGCCACCGAGACCACCAGGATCCCGGAGGCATCGTCGGGTTGACAGTTCAGCACGGCGCGGAGGCCACCATCGCCCACATGCTCGCCGCGGCGCGCACCTCCACTGTCGCCGTGACCGCCAGGTTGTCCCCCGGGGTCCGCGCAGCGCGCGGCACTCGGGACCAGAGCACGCGGAAAGCGAACAAGAGGGAGCACAAGGCCAGGCTTCACCGAGTCCGTCGCACAGGAGCCACAGGACGCCGCCAGCGGGGCGCTGTACGCCGCGACCCCTCCAGGTAGGTGGGACAGCGGGGTGCCTCGCTTCGGCTCGGCGCACTGCGCAGTCCGAGATCGGAGGGTGCTTGGAGTCGGCCACAGTGCGGCCGGCCACGGCCTCGGACATGGTGACTCCGCCCCGTCGAACGAACAAAAGACGCGGTGCCACCACGCACCACGGCAGTACGGTGGGTTGCCTACCTCCACGGCGCGAGACGAAACGCCGCCAGGATGGCGAGTGTCTCTTGTCCACCCACCAATGCCCTGATGTGCATAAGTGCGTAAGTTTAGGTAGGCAACTCCAGAATGCGCTAGAGCCCAGCCAGGGCCAGGCCTTCCCTGCTGGGTAACTTTCTGTCCACTCAGTAGCACAAGAGTTTTATGATCGCTGTGAAAGAAAGTCCTTGCCCACATTAGTATTCACCACTGGCTGGGGTACCTGCCAAAAAGTTTGAATGTGTAAGGCTATGAGTAGAACCCACTGTAGACTTGTGTTCTGCAGCTGGCAGTTGACTTCGTATTTAAGTTGTTTTTTTTCCGATCATGTGCAGGCCTTATGCTAATGAATGGGAAATTCTGGTACATGAAGAAAAAACCAACAGCCAGCCACTGTAGTAATCAGAAATAAGATTCTTTATTATAAACTATTTCAATCTGTTGACAGTAGAATAATTGTAATTACCTAAAGAAACAAGATAAGAAAAGAATCCGAGAGAGGCTGATCTTGTTCTGTTTGGGAACGGGTGGGTCTGGGCCTTGAAAGTAAGGCCAGTACAGGGAAATGCTTTGGCATTGGAATGTAGGGGAATGCTGGGGAAGGTAACAAATGGATGAAAGCAACATATCTAAGCTAAAATAAAAATGCTGGGGAAGGGTTACACAAATGGATGGAAGCAACAAAACTGAGGCTCGGCACAAAATGTGAGACAGGGCTGCGGTTAGGAAAAGGAACACAAATAATTTTAGGAGCAATGCAGGGAAAGGGGGTGCAGGATAGGAGTGCAAGAAAAGAATAACATTCACTCACACTAAAATCAGCCTTTCCTCCAAACACTATTTGTTAAAACATCCTAAAATATAAACAATATTTTATTTAATTTCAGAAATGGGCCAAGAGTGGGCCAACAAACAATATGGGACATGATATTAATCTTGTCCATAGCTTTCAGACTATAATGTAAAGTTATTTAAAAGATTAAAATAAGATTACATGTTTTGAAACAAAACCCAGTCAAACACACCTGAAAGAAGAATCTGGAAAAAATTAATAAAGAATACAAAGGCAGAGAATGCGATAACTGTGAACGGAGAGGGAAATGGATAAAGCTGGAAACAAGGGGCAAGGCGAAGGAAAGGTGGGTCGTAAGCAAAATAGGTATAGAAGTAAGAAAAGCAGGCAACAGGTGTAAAACGAATAGGCACACAACCAAAGCTTCAAATGAAAGGCACACACAGCAATGCTTAACACAAGGAAAGGCTGTCAAAAAATGGGTGAAAGCATTCACAATAAAGCTCGACACAAATTGCAAGGCAACGCAGTAAAAGGCTGATAAAAATTGGGTGGAAGCACACACAGCAAAGCTTAACAAAAACTACCATGAAGGGAAGGGATCAGGAGTTGAGAGAAATGAAGGAGGGTTTTACATAAATTGCAATGGAGGTTTTCTCTTAACATAAATACAGAAGGCTCACCCACTCAGATAATGAACATTTGATGCAAAGTGGGTTTAATACGTCTCTTGAGAGACACTTTAAACATAATCCGATCCAATACCTGAAAAGAGGGACAAAAATGAATACAGAACTTGTTTTTTTGGCAATGTAGTCTACAGGCACTGTATATTTCTCTAATAGTCTATGATGTCACTTACCTGGCTTCACATTTGACAGACACTGTAATCAAGTCAATCCAGTATATTAAAAAACGATTACTGGTTCAGGCGCAGGCGGTAGAACTTCTAGGTGCACCCTACAAGTAGCAGTAATCTGTTGAAGAAGAATATTTATGATTTGAATCAAAAGCATCCACAAAAAAATAAAACAAGCTTTAAAAAAAAATGGCATGGATAGAGGAAAGAAAAAAGTCAATGCAGAAGATATGACAAATAAGGCAAACAAAAATAAGATAGAGAAATAACGTACCACTTCAGGACTGTTCATGCCGCCAGTTTACGAAGGGCAGCTTCCATATTGGTTACCTAGTTTTGACTCGGTTTGGTTTGCGGCTCATCATTCTCAAATTCGGAGAGGCACAGCTCTACTTGCACCTAGAAATCAAGAAATCAGAAAAGAAAATCAGTCCCATCTAGTCGAGTAGTAGATATATTCAAGACAGAACCACAATTAAACCACAGAAAAACACTCGAGCACACTCAAGAAAAGCTTTCAACTAAAAACAAAACTGAGTCTGAATGAAACATGGAAATAACAACGTTAATGAGGGAGCAGTTTAAAGAATAGAACCTAATGAACCTCTATATCTGAATATAATAATCTACATGAAAGCTACTAAAAACTAATGTACCTGCATCTTTTTAAAGTATCTGCTGAGGCAGTTTCCGATCTTCTTGTAAAGTTGGGGTGATTCTCAAGCTGCTTGATAAATTGGAAATCCTCACTGGCAGTCCCTCCATCCACTTTGTTTCCCAATTCAGTGGCAAGCACATAACTGTCCATGTCTTCAAGTACAGCAACCGATCCTGGTGCACTCTCTCGTAACCTTTCCTCAGAGCTACTCGATCAGCTTTGCAAATGGATGGCTAGAAAACAGACATCAGGAAAAAAGAATAGTTTTAGAATAACACTTTCAAATGGCTGTCGATGCAATTAAAAACACAACAAGGTTCCAGTCAAACCACAACACAAACTATGGCTGTACCACTCTGACCAGACGATAGATTAAAATTAATGATAATAACAGTATAAAAATCAGCGTTGCGACTGGGGAGGAAATTCAGTGCATTTCAATTGCAAGAATTTACGCCGGCAACAGGTGAACCGGCCGGCTTGCTTTATGTAAGCCTAGGCCAGGTTCTGCCAGAAACACACAACTAAGTACAGGTTAGGTTGCTAGGGCACAACTTGCAGATAACGGCAGGCTATCAGGATATTTTTTTTTTCAACTGGAAAATTGATTGCGGAAAAATCCAAGCTACACGACATGTATTTTTAAAGATTCCAAGCTTTGTGCGTTTAACCTTTCTGTGGGCCAAGACGATACGGACACCGAACCAATTCAGACAAACAAATGATGAATATAGAAATTTATACGTTACCCTTCGATCCATTACAAGCCTTGACGGGTTCCAATTGTTTGCGCAAACTAAAACTTTGTTAAATTATTCACTTATTCCTCCAGAAATGTTTGCTTTTCCGCTAGGGGAATACGTTCGGTCGGATCGGCGTCGCCCGTGCTTCGCAGCCTAGTACTTTGCGAGTAGCCGCAGTAAAAAGGCACCAACTGAATCACGCTGACAATAGTGACAATCAGCGCGACTCAGTTAAACTCAACGATTTTTACTCATCATGATCAAGTAGAAAAATTAAAATAAAGTTGTACGTGGTCAACACTGTCCACGCGCAGAAGCGTCGTACGCGTCGTCTGCCTAGCAGCTGCCAAGAATGGAAGGGGTGCGGGTGATTATACGCACGATACCTGTTTTGGTCCTGTGGATCAAACCTAACCACCTGTGTCACTAGTTTTTCTAGGGCTAAATGTTGAAAGCCGTACCTGTGGCGTCTCTTGCTCTCTCGCTCTATCGATTTCATTTCGCCAACGACGCCAATCCTTTTCTCGTTTGTCCGTTCATCGCCACAATTTGGTAAGCTGATGCCATTCAACAAACTTTCAGCTTTTGCCTGTGTTTTGACCTGTTGATTATGCCATTATGGCTGTGACTGGTCGTGACATCAATACCAATTTCATTTTAAGAATGTACCTGTACTAATATTTCATCTTTTATTTCAGGCCATGGCTGATATAGCTGTTACCCAGGGTGTGAGGAAAGGTTCACACATTTTCAAAGGTCCTGATGGGCACTCTTATTACTACAATAAAACTATGAAAGGAGGGAGAATTAGTCTTGAGTGTGTGTGCAGAAAGTGGAGGAATGTTTGGTGTCGGGGTCGTGCCAGTGTTGATAGTAATGGGTGCCAATTTCGATGCACGCAACGGCACACATATCACAACAAGCAGCACTTCCAGACACAGAAGTTTCGTTTTGCTGTCCTCAGTCGTTGCCGGAAAGGAGATTTCACCTCTTTTCGGCAAATCTATAATGAAGAGCGGAGAATGATGCCGTGTGTACTAAAACTTCATTTGCTTATGCACACACTTTCATAGATATTTTCTTTGTTTGGAATATTATACTCAATTATGGCTTTTAATATTCACAGCCCTGAAATTATGAGGTCAGTTTGTGCAAACCTCCCATTTGTGACCATCCGCCCAGCAATGGATAGAGCCAGGCGAACCAGCCTGCCCCATATCCCTCGAACTCTTCCAGACTTGGCTGAGATGCTCTCATCTAACGAACACTCAGGTCTGGCTAACACCTTAGATGGAGAAGATAACATCTTTGCTGCTAGTGGTGGTGACAGAAATGAGGGCACTGCCTTTGTAATTTTTGCATCCAAAAGGATGTTAGATGAATTAGCAAAGACAAAGAAGATTTTTGCAGATGCAACTTTCTGCACTCCTACAGGACTTGAATGCCGGCAAATTTGGAATCTGGTGAAGCTAAGAAAACACCATGTAAGGAGCTGTTTTATGATTCATGTAATTTATTGGTATTTATATTCCATCAAGTTAACTTTATGTTTTATGTTCTTGTTTAGATTGTTCCTATGGTACGTGTTCTGATGCAAAAGAAAAATCAAACAACTTACGACCTCATTCTTCAAAAGTTGAAAGATTTACGACCATCTTTTAGGCCTCGAGAAGCTATGTGTGACTTTGAAGATGCTCAAATAAACGCACTCAAAGCTCAATTCCCGGATATACTGATCCATGGCTGCTTGTTTCACTCAAGCAAGGTTGGTGTTTCTAAATTTTATTTTTCAATCTACAATTTTTTTTTTAAAGCTGCTTAGTACTCTGTTGAATGTTTCAGGCTATTGCCGGGAAAGCTAAAAAATTACGCTTAGGTAGGTTTGTAAGGCAGAATCACTCTGCTAATTCTGTAACAAGGTCAATGTGTGGCCTTGCATTCCTACCTGGCAACCAAATTGAATCTGGCTATAAAAAACTTAAACGCCGTGCTGTCAGGGAGCATGTTTACAACAGACTAAAGTCTCTTTTTGATTATTTTGAACAATACTGGTTACGAAGGGCAGATATATTATCTGTCTACAATTGTCCTGACCGTACAAACAATGCGTGTGAGTCAGATAACCGAACCTTGAGAGCTGCACTCAAGTTCAAGCACCCAAGTGTGTTCTGCTTGCTTAGTAAGTTGAATTGAGTATTTTCCAATGCTAAATTTTAGTGTGGACTCTAATTGCTATCATATTTAGTGGTTGTTTAAAAAATATTTTACCCATTTTTATGTGCAGAGGGTTTTCTTGAGTTGGAAGATGATGCCACTCAAGATATTGCTGTGCTGGATGCAGTAAATAAAGCCAGTAGGAAGAGGCGTTCATCAGTTCTTGCCAACGATCAGAAGATAAAAGACCTTCTGCAAGAACTTTCGGAAAAAAGTATTTCATGCACAGATTTTTTAAGAAGGGTATCACGTTCCATTCAAGCTTCATATAATAGAGGTTTTGGATTTGATGATGATTTTAGCTAAGAATGTATAAGTAGCCATTGTAATCCAAAACCTCTATTATATGAAGCTGAATGGAAAACTGATCCATGAAGCGAAAGAAGAGGATAACTCAATTTTCATCATTTTTCAGGAGAAACAAAAAACTGTTTGCAGGGTTAACTTAAATCAGATGAATGATGCAATTGGATTTTCGTTCAAAAACCCTAAGAAATAACTGTGAAAATTTTTTAAAAGTGTAGCATCACTTTGTGGTCGCTTTTTGTGATTTAAATCTTTACGATGGAATGTTCTACAGAACCATGTTTACTTAGTTCTCCCAAACAAGGTGGAATTTGGAGACAATTCAAGTGGAGCTGAGGTCTGCGTAGAGTCTATATTTCTCTGGTACATTTTTGGAGTTACCTCTTTTTCCAACTAGTGATGTGGAGTTGAGATGAGTTAATTCTTTTTACATTAGTTTCATAAAGACACAAGTTGAGTTATCTCCTATTGCCATTTTGTGCAACGGAGTCATTTGGACTTTAGTTGAGTTACCTCCATTTTCCGATGAAATTTAGACTGTAAAAGGGGTCAAGTTGAGTTAGGTCCATTTTTCATGTGGATTTTCTCCTAAACTATTAAGAATTCGGTGAAACAATTTGGTGTAATGATGCAAACCATCCAGAGGCAAAATAATAAGATAAAAACTCAATTTGGAGATAAGTCGAATTATTCCCTTCTTCCGCTTCCTGGATCAACTGTAATGTGCTTTCCTTACTCTAAATGAATGCCATTGGTAGATCTCAATTTTATATTTATTTTAATTGCTGGTTGAATCTGGTTGTGCTTTCCTTACTTTTAATGAATGCCATTGGTAGATCTCAATTTTATACTTATTTTAATTGCTGGTTCCTGTGACACTTCTCATTGTCAAGGAGAGGAAAGACAATTAAAAAGTTGTATTTCTTTGTGTATTTATCTTTAAGAATATTTATTTTTAGAATATCAAATCAAATCATTTATTTGTATCATCAAATAGGGAGCTTATTCAGGAAGCAAGACCCTTCATTTAATGCATATCGATGATGTTGTTTACCGTCTGCTCCAAGCCTCAATTTCCTGAATACTCTCAGGTTGGCATGTCGCCTTTATGATTTTTAAGGATTCATCCAGATCCTGTTTGCACACAGGTCTAAGCTGTAAAGAAATTTTAAGCAAAGTATAAGTTAACTAATATCATTGAACTTAAATGATGGTCATTAAATCCGCACTTTACCTCATCACATAAAACTGTCTTGACATGCTCAAAAGACAGCTCTCTCAAAGGTGCCATGCAGGCATCTTTTATGACATTGGCTATGTCTGCAGCAGAATATTGGGATGACTTTAGACCCAAATGACTGATGTCCCCATGACTAAGGTTTACTTTAATGTCTTTGCTGTTGGCAAATCTTTCAAACATAGCTTTTCGAGCCTGAAAAGTGTTTTCCATAAAATGTTAAACTTGGTGAACCAGCACTTAGTACTAGCATAAAACTTGAATAATTTCTTACCGCTAGGTCAGGTAAGGGCACGTAGAGGTGTTGCCCAAACCGGCGCATGGCTGCCTGATCCAAGTCCATAGGTCGGTTTGTTGCACCTAGCACCATTATTTGGGCATCCTTCTCATTTGAAAGCCCATCCTGTGGCAAATAAAATTTCAAATTATTGATAAAACATGCAAACTCTCACATTTAATGACAGTTAAATTTTAATTCTTATATTCTGCCGTTTACAAATCTACATACCCATTGAGCTAAGAACTCTGTTTTAATCCGCCTGATACTGTCATGTTCTCCCTGCCCTCTGGTAGTCAACAAGGAATCAATTTCATCAATGAAAATGATGGACGGTTGCTTTTGCCTGGGAAAAGCGTTGAATAGATAACACCACAGTGGTTAAAATTTAGAAGCATTCCTTTTATCAACCTGACAATGCGCTATAAAGCAATCAATTCAGAAAGCTATCATAAGTTGCCATGTTTTCGCTTTTGAAATTGATGTGATAGGTAGAGGAAAAATAGCATCACTAAAATAATTACTGTTTTCCAATTTGAATACTTACCGAGCAAGATGGAACAAAGTTGCGATGCATTTTTCTGCCTCACCTAACCATTTAGACATTATGTCAGATGAGGTAAGAGAGAAAAATGTACAGTTTCCTGAGGATGCAGCACACTTTGCTGGAAGCAATAATTCATCATGTTCATATCAGTTATAAATAAAAATTGTAATGCTTGCATGCAATGTATGAAAAATATGTTGATCAATAAATACCTAACATGGTCTTCCCTGTGCCAGGTGGTCCATACAAGAGCACACCTTTAGAGGCTGCCCTAAACCCAACAAAAAGATCAGGCCTCAATATGGGAAGAACAGCTGCTTCCTGAAACGCATAATGGCAAAAGACATAAGTACAGTAATATGCATTATTCTTATCACTGAACAAGGAAATTCATTGAACTTACTCTCAAGCGCTGCTTTACAGTGGGCAGACCAATCACGTCCTCCCATGTTGCGTTGGTCTTGACAATGCAGGCCTCCATTTTCTCCAGCATCTCTGGATCAAGTGGCTTCTTTGGTGTGAAGTCAAAACCAATGTCAACATTGGAAGAACACAGATCTGAGGAGTTTGTGTCCCACCAAGATGAAGTGTCAGACTTATTGGCTCTTGACCGGAGATTCCTCGCACTTGGTTCTGACACACTATCAGTATCTGAAGAAGGGAAAAAGATGTTCACTGGAACAGTTAAGACCGAGAGAAGAAAGTACCTGAGTGGTTCTTACTAATGACTGACGCTGAGCCCTTGGCAGTCAGCTCTTTTATTCTCTGCACCAAAGCGTTTTTTGGAACAGTTTTATTTTTCGAGTGCTGTGGGCGCCCTCTGGCACCAACAGGCTTGCCAGCAGAATTTTTCTCTGCAACCTTCTTCTTTTTATTTGGCTGTAAAAAAAATTATACCCATAAACAAGCCAAACGTAATTAGTTCTAAAAAAAAATAATTAAGGTAAATCCATTGTTACATTTGCCTGGCCAGTTTCTTTTGAAACAAGGTTGCTATTTGTCTGAAATAGATAAGCCATAAGTATTAACTGAAGTAATCCCAATTTCAATTTAAATTGAGTAGTTTGGAAAAGTACACAAGCATAAATGATTAAATTATAGAAAAGTTTACCTCGAGAAAATCGCAATCATCCAGCTCAGACTCCGAGCTTATGGTAATACTGCTCCCGAAATGAATGATTGTCATTAAATTTTATTTTGTAGTGAATGCAGCATGCCATATTGATTATCAAATAATAAATAATGTTCACACATACCTTTCCCTTGCTGCTATTGCAGCTTTTGCAGCCTTTAAATTCGGCACTGCACTAATCTCTGAGCTGCAGACAAAAACCCAATCTTCAGGTTTCATGTGCATTTATTATCGTAAAAGAAATAATGTTCGTGCATACCTTTTCTTTGCTTCACTAACACTGCTGACTGATGACACCTCGCTGAAAGAGAAGCGTTGGTAAGAAATGGATTAAAAAGCGACTATAAACAACAGGGAGGGAGAACAAAAAAGTCCAAATTATGTCAATATGACCTCAAAATGAGCGATCTTTGGTCAAAATTTGGTCCATTTTGATGTCCAAATGACATCATTTGATGTCAGTTTGATTTGATTTTGACTACCTGTTCTCCTTGGGAATCATCCCAAATTCAAGTTGTCCTGGAGTAATACAATTGCCAGATAATATTGGACAAAAAAATATTGTCAGACCGAATACCTTGCTCGCGGAGGGAGCTTGCTGCTGCTCTGCTGCAGAAGCGGCTGCTGCTGTAGCGGCTGCTGCTCTAGCGGCTGCTGCGGCTGCTGTTCAAGCAGCGGCTGCTGCGGCTGCTGTTCAAGCAGCGGCTGCTGCGGCTGCTGTTCAAGCAGCGGCTGCTGCGGCTGCTGTTCAAGCAGGGGCTGCTGCGGCTGCTGTTCAAGCAGCGGCTGCTGCGGCTGCTGCTGCTGCGGCTGCGGCTGCTGCTGCTGCTTTTGCTGCTGTTTCAGCTGCCGCTGCAGCTGCCGCTGCAGCTGCCGTTGCTGCTGCAGCTGCTGCTGAAGGTGCTGCAGTTGATTAAGCTGCGGAAGCTGCTGCAGGTGGGGAGGTTGCGGAAGCTGCTGCAGGTGGGGAGGCTGCTGCAGCAGCTGCAGAAGAGGAGGCTGCTGCAGCAGCTGCAGATGGGAAGGCTGCTGTAGTAGGGGGGGCTGCTGCTGTGGTGGCATCTGTTGCAAGAGCTGCCAGAGTTGATCCATGGCTAGAAACAGAACCCCAAGTAGGCTTAGAAACGTACAGTTATTAAATGAAAGCTTTCTCATAAAACGTGTGCTCTTATTACACTTGGACTTTTCATCAACGGCTTCCAAACTCAAAATACTTTTACTATGTATCGAAATCCGTGGACAAATCGAAGCTCTGAGGAGGACTAGATAAGGAGGACCGCCCCACCTGTCGCTGGAGCTCGCAAGAAAGCTACTACAGCGAAAGGAACGGTGGAGCTTGCTGGTCGCCGAACACTCGTGTTGGCCACGGTGCCCGCTCTGGCCGGCCATGGAATTCCTCCCTGCCTATGGACTCAGCCGCCCAAGCCTTTGCTTCCGATCAGATCAAACACTGACCGATGCCCGCATTATTTTGCGAGGTGTAGCTCAAGCTTCGGTGGCGGACTTTTCTGTGGCACGCGCCTCTGCTGCTCCGCACGGCCAGTGGCAGGCAGGCTTGGGGAATAAGTGCTGAGCGGTGGTCTGAATGCGAGGTCAGGCGGGCACCAATGCAGACACGCAGCGATAGCACCGCGGAGGGGGGCGGGGAGACGGGGAGGGCTGCGATCTGCAAGGCGGCAAAGCATGGGCGCAATGCGAGGGGGCAACCACGTTCGATGTTTGGGGACACAAGATTTCCTAAGACAAGAGATTTTGCAAGATTTCATCCAATTTCACGCAAAAAATCTGCCCTTTTTTGCTTTTTTGGGGAAAGATTTAGGATTTCTAGAGATTTCTAAGGCTTCAGGGGACACAGGATTTCTCGAGGGGTTGCCCGGCGCAATAACGCCCGCAACAGGCGGTGCGGTTCGTCGCTCTGTCTCTCTCGCACCCTTATGGAGAGCCTTATGAGTGTGACAGAGATAGAGCGACGACCCGATGGATGCATGAGTCCAAGCCATCCCGGAAAGCGCGAAAAATATAAAACATGGGGAGGGCGGAGGAATGTTCTTTTCGCGAAAAATTTATGCACGTGACCTTCAAACCGCCGCCTGGTTTTAATGGTCCATCTTGCTTGCGTTGTTTTGCTGACAAGGCGTCAACTCCGCCGCGCGCCGGCGGGCCGCCTTCCGCCGGCGCCGCGGTGCCAAAGGGCTTCGGGTAACACCGGCCAGGCATGCAGAAGCAAAGATCGTCAACGGGTGGATCGCGCTGGATCGTGCTCGCGAACGTCGGTTCGGGTCGGTTCCGAACCAAACCGGAGCGCCGGTTTTGGCCCAAACCGTTGACCAGCTTCGAGTCCCGGCGGCGCTATTTTTTTTTTCGCGATTTTAGAGCTGCAACCGCAACTAACATTTCACGGCACATATAAATACTGTGGAGATTCTTTTTCAAGAACCTGAAAGGTGCTAGAGACCGACAAAAATGCAGGCTTTCTGCCGGGATTCGAAGCTGAGCGAGTCACCGGCCGGGGCCGCCAGGGCTTGGCTCGGGACCGACCCGGACCGACGTTGGCGAGCACGATCCAACGCGATCCACCCGTTGACGATCTTTGTGCAGAAGCCAAGCAGCTGAACGGCCATCGCAAAATAAATGCATAACTTCATCGGGTGCCGTCACTCTAGATTTTAAATAATGAACCCTAAAATTTGCGTGGTCTCCGGGCAAACCCGCGTACCCAGTTGTACGGGTTTACTTTGCCCCCTCAGGCAATCCACCCATGTCTGAACTGCTTTAAAAATTCCTAACTGCCCCCCCCCCTTACTCCCCCGCCGCGCCCCCAAAAAAATAAAATAAAAAGACCCAAAGCCAAACCTAATAAATGAGATCTCAGCAGTCCAGTTTTACGTGTTATAATTTTGAAAAATGGGTTCATCATCCGCTGGCGCAGTTCTCCTCTTATTTAGTCCAATGTCTTTCTTCCTTTCCATATTTCCCTTATCCACGAAGAATGACTAACGCAAATTCTCATTTGTCACATTTTACGCTAAATGACTCATTACGCTGGAAGGGCAAAGCACTTACCGACTGTGGACGTGACGACTGCTGGCTGCCCGAAGGACCGGCACTGACTGGACGCGGAAGAGACGGAAGGGACGAGTATGCGCGTGTGGGGGAGTGGGGCTACCCGGGTCGCTCTGTGTCACAGCGGCGAGCGGGAGCAGAGGCGCCCCCCTCCCCCTCCCCCCACGCCCAGTTTTTTTTTTGTTTACCGATTCACAAAATGAGATTTGTCGTCACTCGTTACAAGTGGTTTCACGAGAGAGTTTTAATGTCCGCCATCAAACCCTTCTTAACGCCATGCATGGAAAATTCGAAAATGGCTGATCCATGGCAATTTTTCTAGCCTTCCGGACCGGACTTCTTCATTCCTCACACCTCGATTCCTCTTCTCAGGCTCAAGTCATGAATACGCTGTTGGTTTTAGAACCAGGGTTGGAGCAAGTCTAAGATGCTCCGTTCGGCAACAATCTCTCTTGGAAGTGGGGTCGCGACCCCGGGGTTGGGAACCACTGGTCTAGCCCTTAGGTAAGGCTAGGCCACGTTTGTGGATAGAAGGCCAGCATCGGGTCCGAGAAGACACAATGTGCCCGTCTAGCCCTTAGGTTAGGTTAGGCTAGGTTGGTGGAGGGAAGCCCAAATTTGGGTCCGACCAGCCACAAAGTACCCAGGGCAGCGGTGCAGCCCTGTTCGACGGGACGGCCTACCCTGCGAAGCGCCAGGCGCCTCCAGGGCGCCTCCAGGGCGCCTCCAGGGCGCCTCCAGGGCGCCTCCAGGGCGCCTCCAGGGCGCCTCCAGGGCGCCTCCGGGCGCCTCCCGGCGCCTCCAGGGCGCCTCCAGGGCGCCTCCAGGCGCCCCCAGGCGCCTCCACGGCGCCTCCAGGGCGCCTCCACGGCGCCTCCAGGGCGCCTCCACGGCGCCTCCAGGGCGCCTCCACGGCGCCTCCAGGGCGCCTCCAGGGCGCCTTCAGGGTGCCTCCAGGGTGCCTCCAGGGTGCCTCCAGGCAGCCGGTAGAGGGTCCCGGGGACCCGGGGCAGGCCACCGAGACCACCAGGATCCCGGAGGCATCGTCGGGGTGACAGTTCAGCACGGCGCGGAAGGTACCAACGCCTACATGCTCGCCGTCGACCGCCAGGTCGACCCCCGAGGTCCACGCAGCGCGCAGCACTCGGGGCCAGAGCACGTGGAAGGCGAACAAGAGGGAGCACAAGGCCGGGCTTCACCGAGTCCGTCGCACAGGAGCCTATGCTCCGAACAGGACGCCGCCATCTTCATCATCAACCAAATTCGTCTCGTTATTTTACCTTAGCACAATACCACCTACGTAGCCACCGCAGCCGCGCTCGCCGCGGCGTCGACGGCGTGCCTAGAGTCCGTCCCATCGCAGCCCCGGTCTCTCAGGCCCGACTTGACGGCGTTGCCTGGCCGGCCACTCTTGGCGCAGGACGGCACCGGCCGGCAGCGCAGTGGCCTAGGCCATAACCCACGGCCAAATGTCGAAGTCCCCTAATTTGCGGATGGCCCTGGCGATATTTTAAAACAGTTTTACAAAATGATTTTCGGAAATAAACTTGATACTAAAAAAATTGTCCACCAGAAAATTATTTATTTAGTCAGTACCCTTATATGGAATTTTCTAAAAGAAGTAGAAAAGTGTTTAATTCTGTACGAAACGCCATCAGGTCGAGTTTTAGCACGATTCGAGGAAAAGTATCTACGTCTCAGTCGACATTGAGTGGGACGATACGAGAATGAGAAAAGTGCCCGCCTGCGCGCCACCGTACGCGGGCATTCTGGCTCGCTGGTCGAGGAGCTGGGAACGGGTGCGCGCCGTACGTACCCGCTACCTCCGAATTTTCAAGCTTTAATAACTTTCTTCCCATCATGTCTTTCGAGCTGCGTTTTTGAAAACTCCCTCACATTACATTAAACTTTCATTTTCTCGAAGATGAATCCCATCTGTCAAACCGTTCCATCAATACAACAAATCGGTATTTTTGCTTTTCGCCTTGCAGGCCCATTGCAAACAGCGGGAAGTACCCGGACCCTGCAGCCTGAACCGGGTGCTCAACTGCATTGCTTGTATCTGTCAAGGGACTTGTTTTTGATGGGAAAGGAACCGGTTCACGGCACTATAGAATATTAGGGAGACGGTTTTGGCAGATTGCGGGATGATTCGTGTTATTTTTTGTATTGAAAAAGTTAAAACGAAAACTTGTGTCGTCTACAGGTTGAAAAAGTAGTCCCTCCGTTCCAAAGACCGCTGATTGGCTAGGACGATCACATGGTCCGAACGCGGTGGAACTCACGTAATTCAAAATGCATGAGTAGGAGTAACTTCATTCTGTCACTAGACATCTTTATTTCTGGTGCGAAAATGTAAGAATAATAGAATGGAGCATTCCTTGTGCCACGAAGAAGATTATTAAAGCGGAACTTTTATTTCTATAGGCACGCAACATGCCTGCGTTAAAAATAAGGCAAGAATTGGGGCCACTGAATTTGAATTCCGCGGCATGTCTCGATAGAGTTGCTAACTGTGCAAAATTTTCTTGCATACATACGAGGCACCTGCAAGGACGCATCATTAACGCCTCCAGATTAAAACAGATATTTTAACGTTACCATACCATGTCGTATAACTAAAATAGTTTCAAACTCAGAATTCGTCCATAATTAAAGAGCAGTGTTTTAGGCTTGTATTG